CAAACAGGATTCCTTAAAGATCGATTGTGTACAGACCAAATCGCAACACTACAGATCATTGTGGAACAATCAATTAGATGGAATTCATCATTCTACATCGAATTCATCGACTACGAGAAAGCATTTGGTAGCGTGGACAGGGTAATATTATGGAGGCTTTTTGACACTACAGCGCGCCTGAGAAAATAGTCAATATCATACGGAATTCCTATGATGAATTAAGTTGCAAAATCTTGAATGGAGGACAGTTGACAGACCCGTTCGAAGTAAAGACCGGTGTCAGGCAAGTGTTCATCACAGCAGATACAAATGATTTCAAGTGAGATTCCCCATGATTTTTGTTTGTTAGTCTTTAACAGGATGAATGAATTATCATCCATTATCAACTTGTTTACTAATAAAGACACAAAGAAATGAAATTTTTGTTCTGGTTTTATTAGCAAGACTATAATTTATTGACGAACCAATCAGATTGGCGACGATAGATCTTGGATTTTAGCGCGAAATTCATTCCTACATTTGATTAAATAGTCTTAATTCAATAAAGTCATATACATGTACATAAAAACACACTCACCTTGGGGGTGGAGGAGGTGGTGGCGGTGGTGGTGGTGGTGTTGGTGGTCGTAGTACATCTTTAGCTGCTTCTAATGCAGATTGAATAGCTACTTCTAGTTTTGTACGTTTTCTAGTTTCTGCTGTTCCTGAATCAGCTTGAGTTGTAGTGGATTTTTGTACAGGAACAACCTCATCAGTGAATTCATTACATTGACAAGTAGGAAGTTCATTTATTTGTCGAATAATCTAGAAAATGATACAGAAATCAGTTTGTTAAAAAATCCATTAAGATAATAGTATTATTTCATTAAATACGTCTCAATCATTTATCATCTCTGTGTAATAGTGATAAGCTGTCATCGAGACCATCGTTATCTACATGTGGACTTGTAGTCACAGTGACGGTTATTTTAGATTAACCACCCTCCAATGATGATTTTGTCTGATTCATATTGATTGTTAGAATATATACATCTCACCCGCATATTCCATGATACGGCCGAGAGTGGAAAGAGTTATCTCTCCCTCTCCAAATGCTCTCATATAGCCACGCGCATACAGCCACTATCAGGGAAGTCCTGCACACTGACTTCTCGCTGATAGGGTATTGGTTGCGAAAATGAGAGGACAAAAATCGAATGTTCGGAGCTTTAAACGGGTTGATGGATATGGAGGATCCACCTAGAAGAGTTGGGAAACTCTAATTCCAAACAAATGGTGCACATGGGATCCAGGATCCCGAGGGAACAAATGGCGTATGAACCAATTATTGGTCACCGGCTATTATGGGACTGCATCTTCTGATGTTGCTCCACTGTCTTGTGGATCAGACCTTTAGGTCGAAAGCTCCGCGTCTGACCCTCTAAGAAAACCACCTGCTTCGGTCTGGGCACCCGGGTAGTATCACAGCTCACACATAAATCAAGTAAATTATGTGGCGCAAATATATCATGTGACAATATATCATGCATTTTAACGGTTGATAAATGTTTGTTTTTGCATGAAAATAAGTATCATCCCACTTTGTTTGTTGTAGAACTATTTACAGTTTTTATTTATTCTCCAACTTTATGTCTTTCGATAAGTATTAGTTACTGTGAATAACACTAGTTCAAAAAAATACTTCAACACTACTACTGTGATATGTGCTATTGATGTCGACAGATATAAGTAGTATGTTTGACCAATCAAAAGTGAAATGCCTGGTGGCAGAAAGTTAAGAAGTTCGAAGAAATGAGAACGAGAGCAGTGAATGTCTGATGTAGAAACAAAGGAACAATCAAGTTTGAGACAACTAATTGAAGTAATGATTACCAGATTCTACCAAGATATTCTGTAATGTTTTCTTAAAATACACTTGATTGTTCCCACTTGTGCTTTACCCATTTAAGTGGAGTTTTATTCACGGAGGTAGACACTTTGGTCCTGAAGTTTTGATTACTCTTCCTCTGAGTAACATCATCAGTACAATGTTGTTCAGAAGAATAATGAAAGGTAATGTTATATCCCGATAAGAATAATGAATGATTCATATCGCAGAGGCTGTGATTGGTGTTCTGGACTTAACTGACTGTGCTAGACTAGGACTCTAGGCTGCTCGCACGTGTTTCATGCGTCACTGGTTCAATCGACAATTCACTGCTCTCTGATTGGCGGTCTCATTGCGTTATACAATAAACAGAACACACAGGTTCACAAGTTATAACAGCTAACTATTGTCAACTTACTCGTTGTTGTGTTTCAGTCACATTACTGATTACTTCAGATAAATTTGTTAATAATTGTGTTACATCATTCAAACGTGAATCAACATCATTAAAACGTTGAAATTGATTATCAATCTCTTTGAAACGTTTTTCTAACTCCATTCCAATACCCTGGGAGAAATAGAATAATACAAGAAAAACAACAATGATAATGTTATTATTGGAAGAGAAGAACCCAATCAATCATAAAAGAGGCCAACTACCTTTCGCCTACCTTGTTAACAATGATGCGCTTACTAATCGCTAGTTTAAGATAGATTTCTCAAAGCCCCATTATGATATTATTCCTGATGTAATATAACTAACTGTATTAAGAATGAGCTATTTATTCACTAATGACATAGATTAGTTATGGTATTGGATCGTGAATTAGCAGAAGTTGGAAGTATAAACCATTGGATACTGCAATAGCTGTTAACAAACATCTAATTAGTTATAATATCAATAAGTCTATAGTCCGATTTTGTGTGTCAGCATTGATGAATAGTTTGCAATTATGAAAAACAAGAAGTATCCAATGTTCTATGCCTTTAAGTGTTATCTGAACTTACATTCAAAATAGAAAACTTGTACAAACACCATAATCATAATGATCAAAACTAGGGTTCAAGAAGAAGGTTTTGAGATTTCTGTCATTTCTGACAGAAAAGTAACGAAAGTTTTATAGTTAAATCATCTGTTTCAGACGAAGCATCATTTACAGAAAGATAGCAGTTTAATAAAGATTACAAATAGATTGAATTACTTAACTCTATGTATCGCAAGTGAATACAAGTCACCATAGTAGACTAATGTAATATGTGACAAAACTGGAGGTTTAACTGGTTTAAAACTAATAAAATTGTTTGCTTTTATTAAATCCGCTAAAACGGAATAGCATATACTGGGACACTCTAGTTATATTGTCAAGCATGCTGGTCATATGTTTAAAATATCCCTGATTTCATTTCAGCTAGTCAACATACGTTCATATTGTTCACTGATATTCTAAACAAATTTAGATTATCATTGAATAGCATTAATATTACCTCTGTAACACTGGACATTTCACTTTTTAAATCCATTACTGGTCCTTGACCAGGACCAACACCTCCACCACCACGAAATACCACAGCACGTGATTCAGCTACACCTCTTTTCCCAGTTGCTTTAGTTGATGGTTCTCTTAAATAATCCATAGCTTTCATATGCTCCCATTTGACCATTTCCCTTTCTTTTTTCACATCGGTAAATCGTACACCTTAGTAAGTAAAACAAATGTGAGATAAGCATATCAATGCGTAAAGGATAGTGAAGTTAAAGGTACCGATTCCCCGAAATGAGATGGAAGACAACAAACAAATAGAGAATGTGAAGAAAACCTAATAAAACAGATTAATAATTTATAACCGTCCAAGGAAGGGACAGAACTTTCATGAATTTCTTCTGAATTCAATAACTTAGGATCATAGGTTCTGAACCTCATCACTTCTGCTATATGTAGGAGATTGAAAATGATGAAGGTATATAATACATCACTCGAAATGATCATAGACAATATCGCTAACCAAATACCCGTTGAATTATAGTTTGGAGAAATAGAACTTTGTTATTAGCGGTCAACATCTGAAACTTAGCTTTTTTTCATGTTTACGTGTACTTCTTTAAAAACGTCTCAAGCAGTTCATCTCCATCAGTATGTTACTGATAAACTACTACTCATTTATAGCATCCATTGAGCAGATTATTTTAGCTCTACACATTAGACATGTAACCAGATTTCTTATGTAATGGATGTGTGTCGACAAACAAACGATCTCATTCTAAATAGGCTTCTACTTAAACGAGCTATCATCTTGTAACTGTTAAGAACCAGTTAAAATACATACTGACTTAATGAATAAAGGGATCATATACATCGAATTCACATGACAATTCAAAGCTACACATAAATAAGTATCATAATTTACATTGATAACCAGAATTGTTAAAAAAAAATAACAGATTGATTTACAAAATGGATTATATTTTGCTGTTTCAGCATTTCTTAAACTTGCGCATTGATTTCCAATAGCTTTATATGCTTCATAGAAATGCCAAACAATAATAATTGGTGGAGCAAGTGGTGATCTATGAACATAATCATTGATCATTTGATATCTTTGATAATTCCAATAGTATGTTGATGCACTCTCTATTTCTTCGTAGGTTTTACTGGAAAAAAATATCAGTTAAAATTTAGGCTACTTATATTTTAAACAGTAGTTCATCTTATAAATAAAAATAAAGAGACACAGTGTGTCTTATTTTCCACATTAATTTACAATAAATTGAAATCAGTGATAGTTTAATGAGAAAATCTTCAGGTTAACTCTATGAGATTCTTGGTATTAAAACTAAAGATCTCTGTACGATGGTATAGTTTTAATATCATATTCATACCCATATTAATAAACTTGAAGATGCCACAGGTATTTGGAGTTGGACAACACTTTAACCAGTAACACCTTCTACTATGCATCGTATCCACCAAGTGAAATCAAAAGACAGAAGCTAGGAAGTTCAAAGATATATTTGATAATCTATCAATATATCGTGGATCGACTGATCTAATCTGGCTACCGATTTCAGGGGATGTTGAGCACGGCGTTCCCACTAGTGATCTGGTGTGGATGCATAACTGAGCGCCTTCAACGTGGTGAGTCCATTCAAACTAATGTGGTCAGCATCTAATGTCGGACACTTACAGATCTATTTATTTGTGAGATTTATTTACCGTTACAAACTTATTAAATCCACCTATCACTTTATGGTCACCAAATCAAAATGTCAAATTGAAATCTTATTAAAAGTGACTTCAGATAGCTGAATGTATTTTTCTGTATCAAACATCTTATAGTTTTGAATGAGAAATTCTCAATAACATTTCTATGAAACCAACAATAAAAGATTAAAAGGCGAGACTATAACTTATGGACGAACAAATCAAGTATGAGATTTTTGTGCAAAGTTAACTCATCCATTTGATTAAATAGAGTTTTGGCATTATAGCCAACGTTAGTTTATGATGAAAACCTTAAGTCTAATTCCTAACCCTTAACCATCAACTGTAAGTCATAATTTAAATTCTTCACGCTGATTTATAACCCTTATTTGGTTCCGGTTATTAGGTGGACACTCTCAATGTCCAGGTTAGATGGTGGTTGGAGGTAGTCAACCGGAAACTCTGGACTCAGGTTTCGTACTACTTAGCACTCGTCAGCAAGGTGTACCTGTAATCTTGAGGGCACTGGTGCTCCCTAGCGGATTCGATCTCGTGTCACCCAGCTACACAGTCAGAGACGTTACCACTGAGCTGTCCGAGCCGCGACCGACCTCTTGTAGGACTGAGATATAATCACAATTGATTGATCACTGGGTGGTGCTCAATGTCATGCTTGTCTAGTCCTTATTAGTGCAGATCGAATGCTATTGACACGCATGACATTGATCGCCATCCAGTGATCAATCAGTTGTAACTCTCAATGTCAGTTTAGCATCGTTCAAAGGTCGTCCGTAAATAATAGTCTCATCGAGTGAAACATTATTTCTTTTTTTAAAAAATAGTTACAGAAACTATGACACAGACAGAACTTGTTCAGTTCAATGTGCAGACCAATGAATATATAACTCTCCCAGTACACGCAACTTATTAATTTCTTTGTCTAAACATATAAACATTGATACAAGGAGGTATCGAATACATAAATGCCACATTTCGTCATTCGATTTGTGTGAGAGCTGGAATACTGACTGGCCACCTAAACCGAAGTAAGTTGTTATCCTAGCAGGCCACTCTCCGAGTCTTTGACATACAATTCTAATTTATAAGACAGTGGAGCAACGCAAATTGCAGGATGAAGACATGTACGTACAAATGAAACGACTGGAATTTTTAAAAATAGTATTTACTCATAATATCTGAATCTCAATCGTTATATAGCTCTTAATTAGTGGTGGTTAAACAAACTCTTGTAATATAGTAACCTGATAAAATTGTAATGGAACTCAAAACATCTGTCAGCCAACATCAAGGTTCGAATCTTTGATACGAACGTCAAGATAGTTCTACTATATGGAGCTGAAATTGAGGGCGGACATCAAAATGATGAATAGTAATTGTAAACAACTAGAAAGAATTGTCCAGAACATAGTTTGATGGAGATTCCAGTTGGACAGTCTATGCTCTTCCACGAGGGGTAACAGATATATGTCAGTAAGTAAGTAAGTAAACTAATAACAAGTTGTAATGATTACACTTACGAAAACATGGCAATAAGTAAGTTGAACATCAGTATATTAGTTAATAACACATAGAATCCAAGCATAATAGGTACAAGCCAACGTGATGTTTTCGTAGGGCACATATGATTTTGACATGTTCGATCTATTCAATGAATAAAAAAAGTGGAAATTATTCCACTGTATTGTTACTAGTACTAATAATAACAAAATAATGAGGAGGTTGGCTAGAAACTATTAACTATTACACTCATGGAATGTATGTTGTTCTAGCTACTTTCCGAACAGATTAGATCATTACAGATTCTTTAGACTGGCTAGTCATAACTACACAGAAATGTACATTTACAGTTCAATTGACAGCTGATAAGCTATTTAAGTTGATTACTGTCAAAATAATACATGGCATTGTAGAACATCTGAAGAACTTCATTGCATATCATGACTTATCTGTCAGTTTTCCAATATGAATATACTAACCTGTATTTGGAGTAGTAGCCAATATAGTGGCGAAGATTTGTAGCTCAGGTGGATGATTCTAATGGAGTTTTTCTCTGAGCTGGATGGTTTGGTTGTGGAGCTTTCGTCTTCCTTCCAAAAGACATCACCAGAACTAACTTCAAGTAGAAGTCTATCTGATTCACCATTAAGAAGGTTAGATGTAAAGTGAATAATTTAAGTAGTAGGCAATTCAATGAATAGAATTTTCTATTAGACGACTTCATTTATGTAAGCTGTACAATCGTATTTAAAAGTAATTTCAGGCAGCAATCAAAGCAAAATGCTAAAACTTAAGTGACTAACAAGATTAGTTATTAATCTAAACTTGTGGTTTAGTCTATTGAGCATCAGTATTAAATCACCGTAACCTGAAACAATACTGGCTAAACTTTTGTAGTTTAAATTGAGCTACTTGTAAGTAGTTAAAGTTTTTAAATAAAATAAAATACGAAAAAAAAATAAATCCATCATGTCATTGAAGACAATTCAACGAATAAAACTTTCTATTAAATGACTTCGTCTACGTAAGATGTACAATCGTATTTATAGTTAACATATTCATTACAAGCAGTAGTCAGCAGTAAATTAAAATGATAATGAGTGATTAAAACAATGTGAATTGGGATTGTATAGTAAGTTGTTTGTAGAAACCAGATATTCGATTGGTGAATAATAGTAGGGTGAAGAAAAGTGTTCAGTTTATAACTGTTAAGAATAGAATGGTGACAACTTGTAATACTGGCTAGTTAACAGATATCAAAACGATTGAAAAGAAGTAGAAATAACTGATAAATCTTCTAATTGAATGCTAGATTCGGTTTCCTAAGCTCTTCTAATAACCTTCAGCCTAAATCTAAACTACAATCTGAACACGGGAGAGAAAAAGTGAAATATGGAAGAACCGTTTTACTCCAAAAGTTTGTTTATGTACAAAAAATCTAGGGTATGTATAGTATTTTAAATAGCCTTGGGCTTCCGAAAGATTCTGGAACGTTACTAAACAAAGTATCAGTAATAGGCAATCATCCAATCAGAAACGGGACATGTGGCTTTCCACTTTCTAGATGTTTCTGATAAAACGTCTATTGAATGCTGATTAGATAAGAGGTTTCCCAGAGTTTTGAGAGCCTATTTTTGGCCTTTTTTCGAGAAAATTTTCTGAATTTCCCCAACAATTATAGAATGAAAAACGACAGATTACCAAAGATAGAAAGGAAAGTTAAGTGTGTGTGATAATAACGGACTCAACATATTGTTCTATTTGAGATCATCACTCAGTACAATTCTGGCTGACATTTTCACTGCCTATCTCGAACCCACCATGTTTAGACCAACATTATGGATCTCTCTTGTCATTACATTTTGTACGAAAATTTTAACTACTCACAAGTAGCTCAATTCAAACTACTAAATTTTAGCCAGTATTGTTTCAAGTTATGGTGATTTAATACTGATGCTCAATAGACTAAACCACAAGTTTAGATTAATAACTAATCTTGCTAGTCACTTAAGTTTCAACATTTTGCTTTGATTGTTGTCTGACTTCATTCAAGGATGGATAAAGACTCTAGATTGATCGTATGGGTTTTATGGGTCACTGGTCCAATCAATAAATCACTGTTCTCTAATTGACGGTATCAGTACGTCATATATGAATAGGGCAAAATGCCATAAGTTATTACATGATTGTTCAACTAAAATCTTCTTATTGAAATACAAATGTATTCAATAACTGTCAAAATAAACCATTGTACACAACTTTAGGAAAACGGATGATGAGGATTCTCATATTGGGACGAAACAGTCGTTCAGTACGTCCAAGTTTTCATTACCGATCTAACATTCATCAATTCATGATCTCAATCAAACCCATAACAATCTTCACAACTTCATACAGATGACATTTTATTTGTTTTTGTTGAACTACATCCATTCAATAAATAACAAATCAATTATTCATACTAATAATAGTATGATTTGATATCAAACAATTCAACTTACCTTCTCCTTGTAATGCATCTAAACTAAAATCACCAAACATTTGAAAATATGCAGTTGTATACATTGAAAATATAATATCAGCAAATGTCATATGTTTAATTTCAGAATCTTTAATTCATTGAAGATCCCAATTAGATTGTTTGTTTTGTTTTGTTTTTTGGAAATAGAACCGGGGAGTTCGGATAGGGTTAGAATAGGGAACAAAACAATAACAAAAGAGAATTTAGAGAAGATAAGCATTACTACTATTACTATTATTAGTACTATTATTATTACCATAACCATTACTCCTACCATTAATCCTACCATTACTCTTACCATTACTATTACCACTACTATTACCACTATCAATACTATTATTACTGTAAACAAGCTGGATGATTAGGCATACATGAAAATGAATAATTAATTAATTAATTATAACTAATGACATGATAAGTAAATATAAAATGAGTTTTCTTGAATAATTAAACACAATAGATTAGGTATAACTAACTAACTAACTAACTTACTAAACTAACATTATCGTTACTATCAAAGTGGAGATTTGTGGAGATTGTAGGAATTTTAATCGTTGAGTTCATGAGCCATCATTTAAAGATTGAAAGTACTGGACGATCGTTTTGTCATAGGATAGAAGTCTTCAGAAGTGTGTATTCATCATCTCGCACTAAAGGGACTTGAACCTAGGAACTTCGGTTCACGTGTGAATACTAAACTCTAAAGTATTTAACTTGCTGGCAGTCAACGGTGTGAATGTATTGCTTACTTACTTATTTACGCCTGTTACTCCTCGTGGAGGAGTATAGGCCACTCACCAGCATTCGCCATCCAACCCTGTCCTGTGCAATCCTTTCTAGCTCTTTCCATTTGTTATTCATCCTTTTCATATCTGCTTCTATTCAACGATGTAATGTGTTCTCTGGCATTTCTCTTTTCTGATTCCCTTCAGGATTCCAAGTTAGGGTTTTCTTCGTGATGCAGTTTAGTGATTTCCGTAGTGTATGTCTTATCCATTTCCATCGTCTTTTCCTAATTTCCTCTTCAGATGGAAGCTGGTTTGTTCTCTCCCACAGTAGGCTGTTGCTGATGGTATCTGGCCAATGGATGATGAGTATCTTGTGTAGACAGCTATTTAAAACTACTTTTACCTTCTTGACGATGGTTGAAGTAGATCTCCAAGTTTCAACTGCGCAGAGTAGAACTGTCTTGATATTCGTATTGAAGATCCTGGTTTTGATATCGATTAACAAACAGTGGTTTTGAGTTTCCTTTATTCTTCAATTGTAGGAATGCGGCCCTTGCTTTGCCTATTCTCGCCCGTGAATGTCTAATTTCAATCAATTCATGATCTTTTGAAATAATTCGTTTATTGTCTGAAGTGGATAAATGTATCACACTCAATATAAATCGAAATCTATTAGTCACGATTTCTTACTAGGATTCCTGAAAATCCATTATGAAACTTGACGGGTATTTGAATCGACAACTGTATCTCTGTGCTAATGTAGTATAGCAACTCGAACTGATATACGTATATACGAAGTTCTACGTTGTTACTAACTGACTGACTGATTATGAAACTTAGATCGACTCATGAACTCAATGAAATGTAAGTTTTCTGAAGAACATTTCTGCTAATAAATATTCACTGATGAGCAGAATGTACCTGTATCTCAGAGCTGATGTTTACTCTGGAACTCAAACCCAGTACCATTTGCTTTAAATGCCATCACGTTATCTACTTAACTACTGAGTCTTGTTAGCCATTTGCTTGTGAAATGAGTTGAAGTTTAAATCTACTTGATATTGTTTACTTGAATCTTTCCATTGATGTTTACGGTTGCGATTGATCTATCTTTTGTTGGTTTATGTACATCCTGTACGGATTTCTTCGATATTGCTTTAATTCAAAAGCATTCTAACTAAAGATGGATAATGACTAGCAGTAGAATCTAGTTTAACATGTGTTTCGTTCTATTTGGTACTCGTCAACCGCATACCAGAGTGAATATAAAACTCTAGGATATAGGTACATCTAAATGACAAATCCTAAATAAGACAAAAACGCTCATCAAACTAGATTCCATTGCTAGTCATTATCTATCTTTACTCATTAATAATGTAAAGAATAATTAAGAATCCATCAAATTTCTCTTTCTATCTAACAACAACAACAAGAAGAACAAAAGAAACTGTTTAATATAAATTTGACATTATCCATTATATCATTGTCATATTTGTAAACAAATGACCTTAATTTGACGTATCTTTTTGTTTATGAATGTAATCGTAATCTTTGAGAACAACAACAACAACAACGAGAACGAGGAGAACAACAACGAGAACGAGAAGAAGAAGAACAAGAACAAGAACAAGAACAAGAACAGCAACAACAAAGAAGAAGAAGAAGAAGAAGAAGTGAACTATTCAAGCTTATAATAATCCTACCAATTGAATTTACAATGACCTCTTTTAAAAAGCGTATTAAATGGATTAGAATGTCAATCTGAACATATCAAACTTAACAAGAGAATGAATTAGGATAATAAATAAACTGATTTAGAATAGGGTGTACTCTTGATAATTGTAATTAAACTTTAACTTGAAATAATGAAAACAACATGGAATGATTAATAATAAACGATGAGAAATTGTTGAGTATTCATATTTGGGTGTCCCACAATCTCTCGTGCGAGCGTTTAACCAGTAGACTACTGAGCCGGCATCCAACGGTGTTAATGCTTAACTGAGACTGACAAGTCCTGGGTTCGAATCCCACTAGACGGAGTCATGAATGCGTACTGCTGAGGAGTCCCACAATAGGATGAAAAGGCTGTTCAGTGCTTCCAAGTTTTCCATGGTGTTCTAACTTCAATTGATCCATGATCTCAACTATTGAAATTACTACAATCTTCTCCTCAAATTCATCTAAGGAAATATACCTAATCACCTTTGAGTTGACTTAAGTCTAAACCTTCATGGACTGTAATTGATTCATCTTTGAGTGAAACTCAACTCTGGGATAAAAATACATTCAGCTGAAGAGTTTCAAAGAGGACGAAGTGACACATGTCATACTAAATTCCACTGTTGGTCACTATTCATTTTTGCTTATAGTCATATTAGTTTAAAATGTGGATAGATTAAAAAAGAAAGAAAGAAAACCTACTTAATGTCATATTCTCTTTGGTAAATAAACCATTTGGATAGGCGATTGATTGTGCAGCCACTGCATAACCAACCATAATCACAGTTAAAATAATCATAAATGGAATTAAATCATTGGTCACCTAATGGGATAAAATTCAATGAAAGAAACAAACAATAAACTGTTTTTAGGTATCAATGACAAGGTCAAACTTAAAAGTATCGAATACATGTACACATATATGTATATAACGAATCGATCAATGTTGGAAAACCACTGGAAATCTGTAAGCATTGAATGGTCGTTTCATTCTAGTATGGAAATCCTCATTAGAGCGCAACCACGATTTTACATCATAGGGAATCGAACTGAGTATATACGGCCTTACCCATCAGTGATTAGTTTCTAGACCACTAAACCGGGATCTAACGGTGTTGTAATGTCTGTCTTCAAACAATCCACGATATTGAGCAACCATCTTTAATCATAATAGGTTTGAATCTGTCTATGTCAAGTTATTCTTAGTCATGATGAATTTGTCCGACCTGTCAATGAATCAATTTGAACATCAGACTGTGAGTATCAACAATGTATACATTTGGAATATGAATTCGTGAGATTGAAATTTGGTGAGTAGGTCGGGTGGGAAATGAATGAAATCAAATGCCGTTGTTTAGATAAACATTCCAGATTAGATAAATATTCAGACCTCCTTTCCTACGGAATTCTAAACGATTCAGAATTATATGTGTGTAACTTACGTGTCTCTTAGCACTTGTCGAGATCACACGGAAAGACTCTCCAATGTAGAATGCATCAAAATCAACACAACTTAATCTGTAGACAAATCTGTTTGTAGAAGTGAACGGGATCTTATCTCTCTTATCTTATCATCCAATCTGAACTGTTTACTAAACAACCATATTCCACCTGATTTATTTTGCACACAATCTACCTATATACATACACACACTAATTTCAACCTCACGGCTTCATGCTACAAATGTATACATTTTTCATAGCCCATTCTCTTACGCATAAATCAATACCTTGACCAAGAATAACTTGAAGCTGACAGATTCAGACTTATTATGATGCAAGATGGTCACCTAATATCGTGGGTTGGTTGAAGTTAAACACTACAACACCATTGGATCCTGACTTAATGGTCTAAAGGTTAATCATTCGTGGGTGAGGTTACATGTCTTCGTTTCGATTCCCTATGATGGGGAATCGTGGATGTGGTCTGATGAAGATTCCCATACATGAATGAAACGATCATTCAATACTGACAGATTTCCAGAAGCTGCTGTACATTGATCGATTGGTAATAATAATAGGCTTATTCTTTTGCTAAAATGATTGACTGTACGTTAATTGGAAATTAATATTCTATTACAAGGTTTTTCATTTACGGTTTCTAAGAAATTTCCCCTCAAATCAATGATGTTCAATGATGATGAGTATTAAGATGAAGTTTATTATTATGTGGGAACTTTTCATCTCAAGTAGGACGAAAAGTGAATCTTGAATACTACTGTTAGCCACTATTCATTTTTGCTTAGAATCTTTGTAACATAAAGCAATTTTGGTGGAGTTTTGTTCTTTGAGCTGGATTATTTGGTCGTGGAGCTTTCATCGTTCTTCTGAACGACATCATCAGCACAAACTTCAGATGGAAGTGAAATGTTCGAATTTTTTCACATATGGCTCATAGCTTATCGTGTAGATCTCGATATTGCTTGGTTCTTGTTGACCTTAATCCTGTCATTGTTTACTTCTTTGTTATGGTTGTATCTTTCAAACCATCCATAAAAATCATCCACCTGAGCTACAAATCTTCATCAACTTAAAGCAATATTGAGATCAATTGTAGTTCTTAACAACAATGGTAAGATACAAGCCAAACAATACCAAGTTAATTTAAAGTTCACCCCATTGAACAGGCAAGTGGCTATCAGAATTCAATAGATAAGTGGATGACGTGATGACGTTTGAAGCGAACGATACTGAGTTCGAGTCTCGGAGTGAACATCAACTCTGAGATACAGGTACATTCAAGTGACAAGTCATAAATAGGATGATGTGTGGCTTATCGTGGATTTCACTGATATTCATCATCCATCTTTGCTTATAATACTTGTGATTTAAGGCAATGCTTAGGTAATCCATACAGGATACATATATATCAATAAAAGACTGATTAATTGAAGACCTTAACAACAATGGGAAGATACAAGCAAATAATACTAAGTAAATGCATCACTATGTAAGTTTAAGGAAGGGGTTTTGTGGATATTATAGTAACTACAATAGTCGAGATCATGAGTCAGTCAAAAGTAGATCATGATGGAGAAGCTGGAAGATATATTTCCTGGAGTCCTAATGAGAAGCAGTGACCAGATAGTAATTCACTGAAGACAATAGTAGATGGTGGCGCTCAATTTCGTGGATTAGTTGAAGTCACACATTAATACCGTTGAATATGGTCTCAATGGTCTAGAGATTAAGCGCTGGCACGCCAGACCGATAGATCCTGGGTTCGAATCTCTCGGGGTGAGGGATCGTGGATGTGCAATGTTGAGAAGTCTCACAATAGAATGAAATGGTCATCAAGTGCTTCTAGGTTTTCCATGATGATCTAAATTCAATTGATTCATGATCTCAACTATTGAAATGACTGTATTATCCTCAAAACCCCTTCTGATATTAATCAACATATGCTCACTAATAATTGGCTTCAAGAGGTATATCCTGGAGTTCTAGTAGGAATCACTGACCAGTGGTGTTCAACCTGGTCTGTTGTGGGTTAGTAATTCACTGAAGACAATAATGGATGGTGGCGCTCAATTTCATGGATTAGTTGAAATTACACATGAACACTATTGGATACAGTCTCAGTGGTCTAGAGATCAAGCGTTCGCGCGCACTGCTCACTTTATTACACCATCGTTATACACTTATTAAGATTTCAATAATCTCCAGATATCCACCCATTACGAATCCACGATCCCGCCCCGGCGAGACTCGAACCCAGAACCCATCAGTCTCGCGCCAAACACTTAACCAACTAAACCGCTTAGCCGGGACCCAACGGTGTTAATGTCTAACTTCAACCAATCCACGAAGTTGCGCCACCGTACACCATTGTCTTTACCCATTAGATGAATGTAAAAAAAAGAGAAAAATAGAAAGAAAAAAAAGAGAAAGAAAAAAAAAACACAAATATCAAAACTTACCATTTTACCAATCATAATTAATTTTGGTCCTAATGCAATATGAAAACTAAATGTATACATTAAACGTATATAGAATGTGAATAAACTAATTGCAAGACATATACGTGATGGATCTAATATCGGATCTGTCACAATATAATAACGTTCATATTGTATATTAAAATTCTCTCCTTCATGATTACGTAATCGTAATAATACAATTAATCTTAATATAAAACCAACAATATATAATGCTAAACCAGCACAATCTAATTTATTCCATCCATCAGATATATAAGTTCTAAAACTGATACCAGATAATACAGCCTAAAAGAAAAAGAAAAGAGAATAGTATCAAATCACTTTATTGATTTTCATATACATTACAATAATAATAATAATAGTATCTGGGATGCACGTTTCGTCCTACTGGCGACTCATCAACTGGATGCATCTGTATCTTAGTGTTGATGTTCACTCTAGGACATTATACACTAAACAATGATGTTCTCGAACTAATATATATATACTGCTTCTAGAGTAAGCCAATATAGATAGGGAAACATCTTAATTTCCATAGTTACTGACCAATAAAAGGCTTATTCAATTAGACTCAATCATATTTGTACTAGTGATACTATTGAAATAGAAATGAAGCTCTTGACTGAAACGTTATTGAATAAGTTAGACATTAACACTGTTAGATGCCAGCTCATTGGTCTAGTTGGTTAAGTGCATGGCGCGAAACTGATGGGTCCTGGGTTCGAATCCCGTGAGGCGGTGTCGTGGATGCGCACTACTGACCTATGACACTCCTAGCATCCAAAAAGTGAGTTTATATGATGTTACCATTTAGAGATGACTCAAATAGTTTCATGTTGAAATGGAGACTTAAATTAACCATCAACTGGACATTTTATGCGACCTAACTTGTCATCAATGAAAAGACAAGGTCTGTGTTTCACCAAAAATCCAAACAGCACATAAGCGATTGTGTCTATCAATTTACATGTATGTGCGGAAACACGTACGTAGGGAGGAGCAATCCTGATATACAATTAAGGTTGACGGAATACATAACCAAATGGCCGCAGAAACAAATGAATTCCAATGGTCAAATAAGATCACAGGATAGACAGATATCTTGCTTCATTGGGAAACATTTGATTGAGACTGATCATAAGGTTAACATCAAGTCAGCATTTGTAGTTTTGTACAAAAGTCTTCAAGGACGTATACTAAGGTTTATTGAAGCCTTGGCTTCAATTTGTTCTTACCTTTAACCTACTCTGGTAATACTGATTTATTATCCAGAATGGTGATCACACTGTTCTCGTGTACTTTATTTTTGATTGTTACGACTTACCTTTAGTTGACTTAATAGTTTTCATATAAAAATGTCTTAACAAGTATAGACGTGTGATCAAACTGTTCGAAATGTATTGCGCAATATATTACATAATTTTGATAAACTTCATCTTCTCTTATTGCATTATCGAAATGCTTATGAATAGCCAACTCTGTTATATCCTAGTGAAGGTTAAGTTAAGGGTAACTTCTGAGAAATATTTATGGACTGTTGTCATGTGTATGTATATATCCTTATTGTATAGCTATTCAGTAGTTAGATTGTGTATATTTATATTCCTCTTATTATAAGCTTCATTTTGATCTACAAGTTACTGTTCTTGAGTTATGTTCAGTTTATTGAGTACCGTCTTCCATGATCACAACCACTCTTTGGCTTGATCTTGTACAAATGTTATTCCCTACTTTATGGTGTGTTGTGGTCTGTTTGGTTGGTATATAAACCAAGTATGTTTGCAATAAATGATTCGTATAATGGAAGCTGTTATTGATGTTCTGGATTCAACTGTTAGGGTTAGAAGGAAAAAGGACCAATAAAGACAATAGGCTGCTCATATTGATCGAAGACGACTAGTGTAGGAGCAACCTCAGAAGCAGTAGGTTTCAACATACATAAAGAGAAAAGCAAAATTCTTGGATACAACAAAACACGCACCAATCGAATCACATCTGATGGAAAAGTTTTAGAGGATGTAAAAATCTTTACATTTCTGGGCAGCATCATTGATGAACACGGTGGATCTGATACATATGTGGAAACGCGGATCGGTAAAGCAAGAGCAGCATATTTACAGCTGAAGAACATCTGGAACTCAAAGCAACTGTCAAACAACACCAAGGTCAGAATTTTCAATACGAATGTCAGGACAGTTATACTTTATGGATCGGAAACTTGGAGAACTACGAAAACCATCATGCAGAATATACAAGTGATTATTAACTGTTGTCAACGCAAAATACTTCAGAATATTAGTTTGTTGATATTTAATAAGTGAATATATTTGTCAAAATTCAATCAATCCACCATATTGAACAACCATCTTCCATTGTCTTCGGTCGGTAACTACCTCACAGCTGACATGGTTGAACTCTACTATTCATGGCTTATTACAAAGACTCCGAAAACTCCGTTTCAAATGTAGTCATTAACGAGCACAGAATAATTATCAGTATAGAGTTATAAACATTGTTGAGTTTAAATTAAGATCATGAACCGTTCAATGTAAAGCCACTAATGGATACTGGGCTTATTGATTCAGAAGTTAAGCTTTCTCATTAGAGACTAAAGGTCCTGAGTTTGAGTCCTATATGTGTGATCGTCGATGCCTAATGCTGAGGAGTTCCAAATTAGAATGAAATGGCTATCCAGTATCTTTCCATTTTCAATGATGATCCAACATTGATCTATTTCATGATCTCAATTACAAACTCAACAATCTTCCCAAGCCTATCATGACGAAAAATTGTGATTTATTTAAACCCTATCAAAAACAGAAAAACATGTTATGATTATTATAACCCCTCCCCCCCCCATCGATTTACGGATCATAAATTCTTCTTTTTTTTCTTTACTATTTCTTATACAAATGTAATATATGATTACGCAACATGATTTCTTTGAACATTCTCCCCCCCTCCAAAAAAAGAGTAAAAGAACTATGTCTATCGCAGTAATACAGAAAAGAAAAGAAAAAAGGGGGGAAGAGGAAAAAAAGACGATGATAACAAATTTAATAAAAATGTAAATGAACCATAACATAACTTACCCATGCAATCTTGATTGTTTCGATATTGAGTGAACATAATCACCAATGTTTTATTGATGGTAACCATATAGGGTAATGAAGTAAATGGATGGTAGGGGGGAGGCAAAGTAAAGAAAAAGAATATACAGTGAAAATGAATGCTAAAGAAAATATATATGAAACTTTAAATAAATGAATTAAGCTGAAGAGTTTTATATTAAGACGAAACGATTGTCTATTGCTACCAGGTCTTCAATAATGGTCTAACTACAATTGACCTATAATCTCAACTATTGAAATGATTATAATATCCACAAAAACCATTTATGATATGAGTCAATATATGATCAGTATTGACGCTCTCCGAGTTGTATTTTCTGGAGTTCTAATGAGAAGCAGTGACCAATGGAGTTCAACTGGGTCTGTTGTGAGATAATAACTCATTGAAAACAATGGTGGATGGTGTTATTCAATTTGGTGGATTAGTTGAAGTTAAACATTACCATCGTTGGATGCCGTCAGTTTCAGTGGTTTAGAGATTATGCGTTGATGCACAAGACCGATAGATCCTGAGTTCAAATCTCACGATGCGGGATCTTGGATGAGCATTGTTGAGAAGTATAATGTTTCCAGGTTTTCCATGATGATCTAGCCTCAATTAACCCTTGAATTCAACTATTTAAAGAAAAAGATGATTGCACAATATCGTAGATTGGTTAACGTTAGAGATGAATATAGTTGGATTCCGAATCAGTAAGTTTGAAGGTGAGCTATTCACATGTGAGATCGAAGGGTCTAGAGTTCAAAGTCTCGCTTATGAAATCATAGATGTGCACTGCTATGCAGTCTTATATATATAACGATAAAACAGTTATCAAATGTTTTCAGGTTTTTCAATGATGATCTCATATTGATATCGACTCATAATTTCGATCAAACTCGACGATTTCTACAATTTAATGCTAAAAATAAACTCAACTAAATCAATATAGAAGTGTACATACGTATTGTGATAAGTGTTTCTTAATTTCATCATTTATATTTAATATAACTTGTAATGAACCTAGTTTGATCAACTATCTGATTTAGATGTTCTCACGGTAATAGTTATTGATCATTCTCTGTTTTGGTAGTATAAATATTCATAATATCCTATTTGAACTCCACTGGTCACTGTTTCTTAATAGAACTCCAGGATATACTTCTTGAAGCCAGTTACTAGTGAGCATTTGTTGATTAATATCAGAAGAGGTTTTGAGGATAATATAGTCATTTCAATAGTTGAAATCATGAGTCAATTGAATTTAGATCGTCATGGAAAACCTAGAATCTCTGGATGGCTATTTAGTCCTATTATGGAACTGCTGATCAGTGCGCATCCATGATCCCGCACCCCGCGAGATTCGAACTCAGGACCTATCAGTCTCGCGCAAGACGCTTAACCAACTAGACCATTGAGGAGTCTCATAGTGGGGCGAAACGGCCGTCCAGTGCTTCCACGTTTTCCATGGTGGTCTAGCTTCGATTGACTCATGATATTAATCAGTGAAATTCCTAAAATCTCCACAAAACCCCTTCTAATATATATATATATATATATATATATATATATATATATATACATGCAATAGTTTTGTATAGTCTCTTAAATCCATCTACATCCTTAGTAGTAGTATTTTTACAATCACATTCACGACTCGACTCCCGCATGTATGATGATGGAATCATACTGTGAAGAAGTTCTATAATACGAGGACGAAATATTCTATCCAATACTTCTTTGTCTAACTTAGATCAACTCATCAATTTAAAAGGAAACGTAATACATTTGATTACCTGTTTAATTTCTTCTATAAATAATGTAATTACCCAAGCAATAACAACATATTCAACAACTGTGATATTGATTCGAAAATCAACTAATAATAAATAACTGAATAAGATGAGAAATGTGATGTATGAAATCTATAAAGAAAAAAAGAAAAAAGAAAAGAAAAAAAGGAGAGACTCTAATTTATGGACGAGCCAGTCAGAGGCGTTTTAGTGATTTCAAGGTTACGGCGCCAATTTCAGTGCTTAGTGTTAACGTACGATCAGTTCACAGGGAATTTTGTACAAAACGTGATCATTGAGCGGTTATAACAAATAAAATGGCGGGACTATAATTTGTTGATGAATCAATCAAGTATAAGATAATAGATCTCGGAGTTTAACGCGAAAACCTTTCATCCATTTGGCTAAATAGATTTCTGGCATTATAGCTGATGTCAGTTCGTGATGAAAACCCTATATGTAATTCCTAACTAAAGCAAATTATGACAAATATTGCGAACTGGATAATAAAAGCACCAGTAACACCGGCTGCAGCCAAGTACTACAATATATACGGATGATTGGAGAGCGTACACACTCCTAGATAGGCTTGGTTATGTGCATCGTGTCGTCATTCACAAGTGGTATTTTGTGCACTCAGCAACCAGAGTGAACACAAACAGTGTTTAAGCTATGTGGTGGATGCTGAAAGAGTTTTTGAGACTTTATCATGACTCCAGAGGCCGACTATTCTGTAGCCGTATGGACGATTTGCTCTACTGCACGCATTACAATTTTAGAACCTCTTAACCTCTTTCTAACCCTGACAAGTTTTTGAACCACGTCTAAGAAGTGTATCCACTTTATTTCTTTTGTTTTATATAACATCTTTTTACTCTATATTGACTGTTTGCTGATTGGCTAATGTTTCTCAATGCCACTTAAGATTCGTTCAAAGGTCGTTCATAAGTAGTTAGGGTCTCGCCGTATATTCTTTAGTGATTATCAATGTAAAAATGATCATCTATGTATTAAAACTATGATCAATAGGCAGATTGAGTTAATTTTGAAAGGGTATTCCTATAATTAAAGTGAGAATTCATAACCAGTAGGGTATAACTAAAGTGAGATATGAGGTGATGATTCATCAAATGGATTGAAAGATAAGATAAGTGAAATATAATCCAATGTATCCTAGTTTAGATGGCTAATTGTTAAATGGTTGTTATCATATCTGAGGGTTATGTATTCAGTCATTGTCATGGATAGATAGATGTTCAGTACTTTGTGGTCTTCAATCAAATCAGTCCATGATGTATATTATGAAAGAATATTTCAGATATCGTTTTACATCCCATGGTTAAATTCATATCTGCCTATCTATCTTATCTGAAGGTCTGATCCACAAGGCAGTGGAGCAACGTTAGGAAATGCAGTTTCATGGTAGCCGGTGATAAACAATTGGTTCATAATTCATCTGGTCCCCCAGGATTCTGGAGCTCATATCCACCATTGGTTTGGCATCAGGGTTTTCCAACTCCCCTAGGTGAACTCTCCATGTCCACAAACCTGATTAAAGCGCTGGACATTCGCTTTTCGTCTTCTCAATTTCGTAAACAACACCCCTGCCGCGAGAATGAAATGAGTAGGACTTCTCTGATAGTGACTGTATAAGTGACCTTGAGAGTGTCCACCTAGTAACTAAGACTAAATGAAGGTTATAAACTATTGTGAGGAGTGATAATTATGGTTTATAGTATGAGTATTACCAAAAACAAAGAAAGTTGTTAACTTACAGTATTATACACAAAACGAACAACTGGTGCCATGTAAAAGTCACGAATCTGTGAAATATATTCCAAGGTTCTAGCTTGTAATGTTTTCCGAACACTGAAATATAATAAAATCAGGATCATTACTTTAAAAGAGTCGATTTAGTGTAGTGTAAAGAAGAAAAAATGATATAATGATTAATGGAGTTCAGCCGTGTCTGGTGTGAGGTATTTACACACCGAAGACAATGGAAGATGGTCGCCCAATATCGTGAATTCATTGAAGTACGACATTAACATCATTGGACATTGACCGGCTCATTGGTTTAGAAGTGAAACATCCGTACACGAGAACGAAGGTCTTCGGTTGGATTTCTTTCGGTGCGGGGTCGTAGATGCGTACTTCTGAGAAGTCCCATAATGAGACAAAATGGTCATCCAGCGCTTTCGAGTTCTCAATAGTGGGTAACACTGATCGGTTAATGATCTCAATTATAATTAAACAATTTCCACAACCCTATTAATATCAGATTGACAAATATCCACTTCAAGACGATTATGATTGTACATTACCTAAATTATAATATCATACCTCAAAATTCTATGTCAATTACTCAATATGCTTAGATTAGGCATAAGTGAGTTAAAAGTCAAATAAACAAAAGACTTACCCTTTTTTACCAGCATCTTCTGCAGTTAAAACATATTTTAAAGTATGATTATTTTGTGT